CATACTGATGGAATTCCAGCACCCAGAGGGTATAGGCAAACTAGCCAGCGGCGCAGCCACATGAGCTGAGGGTTTCACCCGTTGACACGTTTCACACGTACGCACATATGTGCTTACCCATTTTTATAGTTTGGGCCACCAATAGCATTGGCTCACAGAGCCGTAGGTCTTTTCACGACCGAGATGACCACTCAACGCAGTATCATGTGCCTCATAGAGGATCCGATACTTTAACTCCTCATCATGAGGGACAACGATGCGAGGGGTATCCTCCACATCCGTGCTATAGCACAACAGGCCTTGATCGATGGAATATCGATGTAACTACGACCGTAATAGTGCCGACAATTTTATGTCCGAGTCTGGAATCTCCTCGCTCCTCAGAGCACGTAGCAAAGCTACACAGTGTTCATCTTTAGCATATGCCGAACGAATGAGGTCTGTGACCGATGATGACAGAGTCGTAACATGAGCAAGCTCATAGTCAGGCCTGTCTGACAACGCATCAGCCAAAGCATTCTGTTTGCCCGGCTTATACTTCACCTCGAAGTTATATTTTGCAAATAATGAGAGCCAACGAGCCATTCGCTGAGAGAGATGTGGCGACTGGGTCGCAGTGCGTAATGACGCATGATCTGTAAAGATCACAAAAGGCTTAGAGCCAAGCAGATGAACTCTGAACTAAACTAAAGCATACTTTATTGCAAGTAGCTCTTTGTCATGAACTGGATAGTTCTTTTAAGCTGCTATCAGCTGCCGGGACTCAAACGCAATGACGCGTTCCCGTCCATCATTATCTGTTTGTAACAGAGCACTGCCGATGGCAAAGTCAGATGCGTCACAGACGACACTGAAAGGCCGATCAGGATCGGGCAAAGCCAAGATTGGCGCATGAAGAAGGCACTCTTTTACAGCCGTAAAGGCTATCTGCTCGGTGTTCGTCCAACACCATTCCACATCCTTTTTAAGGAGATTAGATAATGGTCGAGCCATGTCCGCATAGTTTGCACTATACTTGTGTAAGTAATTGGCAAGACCAAGCCACTTACGTAAGTCCTTCTGGTTCTGAGGAACCGGCCAATCGACTATGGCTTTTACCTTAGTGAGATCCGCTCGAAGGCCTCGCTTCTCAATGAAGCACCCTAAAAAGGAAATCTCTTCTGCATTAAAGATGCACTTAGATGCGTTGGCGTACAACTTATTCGTGCGCATGCACTCGAGCACTGCTCGTAAATGGTCGATGTGATTATCCACATCAGACCGATCGATCATAGCACGACTATGGACAAAGATGTCATCAAAGTAGGTCTGTGCATAACCTCGGTGAGGCCGAAACAGTTGCGTCACAAGACGATTGAACGTAGCTGGCGCGTTTGACAAGCCCTGTGGCATAACTAGCCACTCCCAGAGCATACCGATCGGGGTACTCACCGCTGTTAGCGGAATATCTTTCTCACGCATGAGTAATTGGTAATAACCATCGACTAAATCGAGTGCACTGTACATTGTACATCCCACCATATTATTCTGAAGAACATCTTTCCGAGGGATTGGTGTCTGAGCCGGGATCGTGGCAGCATTAAGCTTATTGTAAGCATGAACAATGCGCCACTTTCCATTGGGCTTTCGAACACAAAATGTGGGCGTGGAATGAGGAGATTTGCTCTCACGAACCATGCCCGCTGCGTGCTTTGCACGAAAGAAGTCGTCAATGACGTCGCACTGTTCCTTCGGTAAAGGCCACTGCCGTGTTACGCAGTATTTAGTTCCAGGAACCAAGTCAATTTCATGACGTACACCTCTATCGGGAGGTAAGACGGACGGTGGGTTGTGACACACCACGTCTTGAAACTCCTTAACCAAAGGATAGAACGGATCAAGAGGATCCTTATAGATCGAAGATCCACTACGGGAATCTAATGCCGCCTTTGTGTCCTCAAGGACAGACTCGTCCAATAACGAGGATCAGTTCAACTCAATATCTGGTCAATTGACCACTAACTCGGATAATTCTCCTGCCTGTAAGGCTTGGCTAAATTCGCCGTCAGACATTTCGTCTAGTTCAAAGAGAGTATCCAAAGATGGAAGAGTCTCAAGATTAATATTGCCATCTATCTGGCCAGTCAATTCATTAAAAAGTGTATATAGCGTATTATTACTATTATCACTTCGTGACTTCTTAGACGTTGGGCGCTTCACATTGGCCACCTTACGCTGGAATCGTTTCCTCACAGAAACCGTACGCCTCCTAGAGGCCAGGACAGTCGGGTCCCCGTGATTGCTATTTGTCTTAGCACGCTCTAGACGAGAGCTCATGTCTTGAACGACATCTGGTGAAGTGTTACGTAACTCAAACACTTCACCCAGTGGATTTACACGGACCACTTCACGTACAGCATTCGGGCCTAGCCCTGAACGCTCTGGCTTCTCGCCATCAATATCATTACCGACATTCAGTGAGGTGCCATCACGGCCGCCCTCACTCTGTGTAATTTCACGTGCCACCGCACTGACATCATGGGAATTACTTCCTGTATGTCCTGCCCGTAGGCCAACCATGCTTGACGCATGCAGTGACTAATTATCACAACGAGTATCACTCAACGGAGTACAACTCTATTCAAACACATTAGAAGAGCTCCGCTCCATATTCATGTCATAGACATTCGAGCTAGTTAGCTCCGACATACCAATGTCCAGCACATTGACATCTTCCGCCAATGACTCGCGCCAATAGTGCTTTTGTTGCCTAGCAAAGGTGGGTTCATGACTCTCCAAAGCTTCGCTAGGAACATTGCACGTGGCGCCCAAGGTCTTAGACCTCTAATCAATCCATGGTTCATGGCGTTCAAGCCATGCCATGCCTAGGATGAGATCGTATCTCGAATCCAAGTCAAGGACGAGACAGCGTTCTGTGCTATCAAAGTCCAAAAACTTCACGCCCAAGTTCAACGGAACTTTAGGCACAGTAACACGACTACCCGTCGCTAACCGAACCGTGATTGAATCACCATCGTGCGCTTTGAGCGCCTCAGCATATTGCTGACTCCCCTCAAGGGAACGGCGTCTAGAATAGTTGCATGACGCCCCAGAATCGATTAATATCGACCAGTGCTTCCTAAAGCCTTTAATTATCGCCTCAGCGACTAACAAGCCAGGCTTGTATCCACGCTCTGTGCTTGCTGGCACGGAGCTCTGTGGGGCTAAGTCCTGTGTTGCTCGACCTCGTAGAGAAGTGACAGAACTCAGTTCTCCCCCAGTAGGGCGCCCCTTACCTACTGGGTGTCGACGTTTGCCCGTGCCATACCAAGTTTCTGGTTGAGGCTGGGGTTTCGACCCGTAGGAGTCGGTCGTTGCTCACGCAAAGGACAAGTGGGACGCAAATGTTTAGGGCTTCCGCACATGTAACAGCGTCTCACCTCCTGTCGTTGCTCGGCAACATGAAGCTCCGCTTCACCTTCATCGTCAGCATCGCTGAGACCCATCGGTTCGGGCTTACAGTAAGCTGAGCTATTTGCTGAGGTTGCCCTCGCATAGCTTGGGTTGTACCCATTCCAATCAAGTCTGGCTGACTTAAAGTTATGCTCAGCATTCTGAGCGATGCTCACAGCCTCCTCAAAAGTCGAGGGATGGACTCGAAAGACCTCGGTCCTGGCAATGCCAGTGCGAAGACCTTCCATGAAGACTGTCACGTAGACGGTCTCAGGGAGAGGGTCGGACTGCATGGCAGTCAACAGAGTTCTCAACTCCTGGACATAGTCCGTTAACTCGTTCTTACCATGACGGGTAGACAAGAAGCGTGAGCGCACGCGATATGCCTGGTTAGGCGGCGAAAAAACTCGCAAAAGGTCCAACTTGAGCGAATCCCACGTGGGAAACGCCAAGTTGACCGACGTGCCACACGTCAAAGCCCACTCTCTCGCTCTACCATCGAGCTTAGATATAGCCAACGAGACCCGCTGATACTCCAGTGAAATAAGGTCAGAGCTCATGGCCATCTCAATCTCACGGATCCAGAGGGTAAGGTTTTCCCCCTCCTTCCCGGAGTAACATTTAACGTCCACCCGAAGGGAACGAGGCTTAGCCTCTTCTGGTGGCATAGCCACATAGCGTGTCGGCATAGCCGACACTACTTGGTTTTGAACCTGACCCAACAGGGCCGTTTCATACTGCATGAAGGTCTCTACTCGTGCGTTGAGCACATCGGGACCATGTGCAGCGAGAAACTCCACGTACTCAGGGCCTACGGCCGCGGTCAGCTTATCAAGCGCGACCTTTTGGGCCTCAGAGAGGGGTGTGGATGACTCTATCCTCACAGAGGATCAGTCGTAACGACTCAGGCGTAGATTGACTACAAGTGCTACCAAGTGTAGCGGAGCTACACAGCTCCTTAAGTCAGAGGAAGACCTAACTCTCAATGAGAAACAATGGTTCTACGAACCCGACTCAGGGAGTCAACAAGCTCAGAGAGCTTACGGTCCCTGTTTCGGGGAGACCAAACGATTCAAGAGAATCACAGCACAGAGTGCTCAAGAGCAGCTACCTTTACAGGTGTTGCTAGCTCTTCCGATCAAGACGCCTCGCAAGGCACGTGTCTTATGTTGATCAAAAGGGGAACTGAATTTTTATTTCTTCTTTAAACCTAAAGAACACCATAGAACAATGTACTTAACCTAGTCACTAAGGTTCAAAGTAAAACCTCTCTAAAGATCTCGTAATCAATTGATGACAGACATCAGTCTTCAACAATTGATACACTCATTGTGTTCTAAAATTACTTTATAGGGTACCCCCTCTCTCGTGTGCACCACACCTATCGTCGACTACCAATCGAGGTGTAACCCCGTTTTATCTCGAGACGTGTGTCGGGATCCAGTGCGGTATTCGACTTTCATCGGCCGGATGTCGTTGGCCGTGCCCGTCTGCCGCCTTCGCCAGTGCAACTATTATACGAGATGGTGGCATCCCGAATGCAAAACAAGTGCGAAGAGCTAGTAACGATGCCGAGCTCGAGGACGTTGAACCGCACGGCTGCAGTGTCGAGTGCACTGTTGGTGATGCAGCTGTACGCGTCGCGAAAGAGTCGAAAGGTGTTTCTGACGTTTGTGCAGTTTGTAGCTGCGTCGGCATTGAGCTCGGTTGCTTGTTGTACGCTTTTCCTGCGCTTCGTCCAGCTCCTGGATCTACGATGGAATCTAGTCCACACGATGTCGCTCCTGCGTTATGCACGGCCATACTTGCTACGTAGCGCAAACAGTGGAACATCGCAAATCGGTAGTCAGCCATCTCACGAAGGTTCTATGACGATTCGCAAAGCCGCTACTTCTGTTTCGGTAGTGGTTGCTGCTCTATACGTTCTTCGTAAACTACGGCGCTGACGTGAGAGCAGTTCCTGGACATCAGCGAAGTGGGGTCGATCTACTACAATGGGTTCAAGTCTGGCTGTGGTATTGCTGCAGCCGACCATGCGACGTAGCGGGTGCTTTAGCTTGCAATGGTCAGCTCAATATGGCGCAGTTCGAGTGGAAGCATTGGGGTTGCTGTTGATCAGATCACTTCGTCTAACGTCTGGATAGCTGTTATGACATTGATTGGATGTACGGGAAGACCGACATGAAGTGAATGCACGAGTCTGTTCAGTTCCAGCTTGCCTAGTGATGACCCACCACTTTTGCTTCGTCATGAAAAGAACAACGTCGTCTTCTGGGTGCAGTGTCATGAATGTGCCCTACGTCATGTCAGCTACGAGCGAACATCTCCCACAGTTTTCTGCAACCGGCCTGAAATGTCGTGCTTGGCACGTACGTGGGTTTTGGTCGGTGGTCGGGATAACAATCGAATGGACACGTCAAGTGCTGAACGACCACAACCGCTGGTGCAATCGCTGTCAAGAGCCAAGTCCGTGACAGTCCATGTTGTCTGTGCTGGAAAAGTACCATTTTGTGACAAACTGCGGAGTTTGCGACGACACCTGAGAAGAGAGCAGGCGATGAAGATGCAGTCGATTATGCATATGCGAAGGAGACGACGCGGTTTGACGATACTGAGTTCATCCACGTCGCGACTTTTGATGGCCGGTGCCGCCAGGTGGTCGCTGTTGATTGAACGAACGTACAATTGCGTGCCAAGATCTGACAACAAGATCAAGTCAAAGACTGGCATCGGCTCCTCGAGAAAGTCTGCAATCCCGACGCGAGGTGGGCGAGCTATAGTAGCAGCAGACGTGAGTGATCAGATGCAGACATTGCCGTCGTGTTGTGTGAGCGAGTTGCTAGCTGTGCTGTGTGGATGCGGCGAAGTCGACTTTGAAGACGGGTGACGACTCTGCATCGTGGCGTTGGTGTGGGGTACCGAGGCCGACGACATTTACATCGTGTTCAAGAAGATGTTGCTAGAGCTACAGCTTTGTGTACGACAAGGATGCAAAACATGTGACCACATGGTATATGCGCGTCGTCACCCCACTTAGATACAGTACATCATTGCTAATGTGATTGCAGGCGTCTGTCTGAAAAGGTTTCGAGTGGGTCGTCTTTCAATCGATTGCTACACACCACACGGGTTTGCCGCGAACAAGTGCTTTCCAGAACACTACGATCGATGCGTGTCGGCGCATGTTGCGCGTTGGCACTTCGTTCGACCGACGGCGCCGATAACTAGTCACTCGAGTGACACATTCCCCACTCAGTCGCGTACAGGTGGCGAACACATTGGGAGCGGAAGTGGAAGGCAGTCTGTGCTTTCTTTCTGTGTGGGGTACCTGGACGCATTGTAGTACAAGAGCTTTCAGTACGTCTTTGTGTTGTCAGAGTGTCCTACAAGAAGTGAAGCGTCAGTCAACGTGACACCTCCGCAAAGGTCTGACAAGTCCTGACCCTTTGTACTCGACGCGGAGATACGTACCCACAAGATGCACGTGGCATGGACAGATAGCAGACCGCAGCACCCTCCACCGCTCCAGTCTCGACGCCAATGTGACGGGCGTAGCAGCAGCAGCAGCAAAGATGTTCTTTGTGGCGTGTTCAACGAACGTGGTGGACTGCGTCTAGAAGGTCCCTACTCGCTCGGACGAACGAGAGGGCCCATCGAGCAGCTTCCGACCCTTTCCACTCGGCAGGCGATCCCTACGTCGGCTTGCCCACCCCCATCCATTTCGCGTAGTCGCTGAACTTCATGTTTCGGATGCCGTTGATGTACCTCAGGACCGCGTTCTTGAAATTTAACGCCAGTGGCCGGCCGTCCAATTTCGCCAGCAACGGCTTAGCTTTGGCCATTAGATCGTCTGCGACTGCACCGAGTCTCGGACCAAAAAGTGCCCATTCCGTGCGCAACTTATCCTTAGCAGTCATGACGCCGCCATTGACCTGCGGCAGCATTGAGTTTCTATTCGACCCACTGGGCATCGGCTTTACCATATTGTTTGCAGCCCCCACGTTGTTGTTTCCCGCCGCCTCTCTCGCTTTCATCGGTGCCGAGTCGTCTTCCGCTCGAGCCCTTAACAACCGCTTTGTGTCTGCTGTGTGGCGAGCGCCGTCCGTCACGCGATTCACGAAAGACACGTCGGACTCGGGAGCAGGTTGCGGGTCACCAGCCGTCGAAACTGCGGCGCTGGAAGCGAACACAGCAGCCAGAGCGACCGCCGCAATGTATGTCAGACGCATGTCTTGCAAGTGCCGCGTACGTGGAGAAAGTGGCGGTGGAGGAGGAGGAGGAAGAGGGGGGGGGAGGAAGAGGTTGTTGGTCTGACCAAAGAATTGGAAACTGAGGTGCCAGGAGCAGCGCTCCTTGCGGCTCGGGCTCGTCCTATGTACTGATGCAGCAGCAGCAGCAGTAGTTCCTATGGACAGCCGAAGCATAGATGGACGCGACGTCAACGACATCGTGCCCTTGTAGAGGTGGTGACAAGACGTTACTGCTGGCAAACCTGAAGAGCACTGTGTGCCCATTCCCAGATGCCGAGACCTGCTGGGACTTACTCGCGGGGTACTGCCCCTACGTACGTACGGACCTGTGCTGGTCAAAACACTGGCAGACGAAGTTGCCGATCTCATGCAAACGCTACGGCCACGAAGGACAACACAGTAAGGAGCAGAGCCTACGAATTCTTGTGGCTCGATCGGACTGACCTCTGTCCATTTACTCACCTGGTTGTGGACAAGGGATGAGCTGACTGCAGCATCGACCACTATCAAAATGATCGTGTGACTCGCACGCGTGTGGAAGACTGGATAGTCCAACGTCTGGTGTGGGGCGCAGACGACAGCGACGTCGAGACAGAGACAGAGACAGAGACGAACGCGTCTGTCCAAGCGTCGACAACCGCAGGATGTCTGCTGTCATATCCCAAGATGGGATCTGACGTGGCCGGTGCTCGGTCGTTGTCGACTCGTTCGCGTTGGCACAACAGCAGACGTGCTCCTTCTGTTGTGGGGTTCGTGGTCATCCCGTCGGGAACCGCCTGCTATGCTACAGCTCCTTGACGTCGTCCGTGTGCCTGTGTCCTCGGATTCCGTGACAGTCGCTCTCGGGCGCACACGCATGCATACCTCGCCAAGATGGTCGTGTTAAGGCGTCTCTTTGGCCTCGTATGGTACAGCTCAACAGCACAGTAGCGTTTGACACCGCGCACCATCCACTTCACTTTTCGTAGCATACCAACTTAGTGGCCGTGCTGCATGACCGACTCCTTATGCCACGCGCTGAATTGCCCGCAGCATATGAGACGATTGACATCTGGGCTCTGTCGAGGCCCCAGGGCAGATAATTGCCGTCTGCTGTTATCCTCCGCTTGGTCAATCGTGGCAAGTCTCACTGAAATCCGGTTGTGAACTTGCCTTAAGATGGTGACACTCTGCAGGTCGACACCCGATTCCGTCATGACCCCACCGATGCAGCAGGTTGTGGTGACCTTCGGCCGTTCGACGTCGTGTATGTGAGCAGCTTCATGCGAGTCGGGGCGCTTCCCGTCTCCATAGCTTACCCCAAGGACCTCGTCGTATCTCTTTGTCTTGGAGCTGATATGCTGAGACTATACATGTGAATCACGACCGAGTTGAGAAAAACCGATCGACGTTGTCCCAGTCGTAGCCTCACGCCCGATAGACGTTCACTGTCGTTCAGACGCTTAGCACACTCTTTCGTGTTGGCGCTACTCCTGCAAATGGACCGTCAAAACGTTCCATAGTGCAGATAACGGGTCTCTTGCACCGCTCTCTCGAAGTACGTCAATGCCGAATGTGTGGCGATGACTTCGATATACCAACGCGAGTGTTTCAACTACCGTTGACTTAATCGGGATGTGGTGCCGTCGCGTATAGTACGGATCATGGCAGCAAACTCTTGGAAGACCCAATACGTTGTAACACCTAAAAGAAAACGCACATGCGACCGTAGGACACCCTCAGCATAAGTCACGCAAGTAGGTGGTGCGACTCAGCATATGCGCTACCCCCTGGCTTGGGCTCTGCGATTTCCAGAACGACCATTATTACCCTCACTATCTTGAACATCCGCCGCCCATGGACAAACAGTGATTGTGAATCCTCACCTCACGTTTTCAATACTCACTACTGCATCTACGTAACTCTACAATCAGTCGAACATCTTGCATCCGATTTGTAGGGTAGTTTCTTTCTACCCAGGAAGTTTCCCTTACGGTGCTTAACTCTCAGATACCTGCGATCAGTAACTTACAGATTTTGCGACTCCGTAGGGTACCTTTTTGCACGCTTGCTTCACATTGTCTACCGGCTGCGACCCATATGAGAATCCAGTCGGTGGCGCGGCCTTGCATTCAATCCTAGCGTGGATGGAGCTGTCCATCTACTGGGACTCGAACCCGTAAACTCCCGGTCAGAACGGCCATGCATCCGATTTGTAGGGGCGCAACAGGCCTGTAGCGTAGCGCGCCACCCTATTTTCCTCCTTCACAGCAGGATACCCATTCCTTCCATACACGACTGGGTGGCAAGCAGGCACAAGGACATGGGAAGTACGTTCCCGGCTTTCTGTGGCTTTCATGCAGCCAACGTCACACTGCAATCGTCGTCAGGAAGCATAGCGGTAGTCCCCTTTGGGCCATACACAACACCCCCACACACTGTTCACGTTGTTAAACACTTTGTCGCGACACGTTCGTTTGCTAGCAACTTGCAACCAGCAGTTCTACTAGCATGTCGGAATCCAAGATACGTGGATCGCGCATTGTTCGTCTGAGCACGCAATCTTGTTAGTACGCCTCCATTTTCAATTTTATAGCTCACAAGCATGACCAGTGAATCACTTTGCAACTATCGTCATGCCATAGTAGTTAGGATTAGCAAACGGTCATTCGGCAGCATGATAGTCACAAAGATGAGCCATACTGAGACCAATGCACGGGATAAGCAGCGATGGCAGCGGGTCAGAGTAATAAATAAATGTAATACCAATCAGATCCATCTAGCACCGGCTCCAGTTCAGCGAGCTGCATCTCCATTTAGATATTGATCACTAGGGTGTCTTGACGGGATAGGCCAAATGGAAAAAATCCGCAATTTATCACGAAAATAAAAAATGCCTCAAATAATCGTAATATATAAAAATGCCCCATATAATCGGATAATGAAAAATGCCCCATATAATTAGATAATGAAAAATGCCCCACGTCCTAGTAACCCCAACTTAATGTGACACCCATAAAACCACACTTACTTAACACTTTCGTTTTCCATTTTACGGCCGTGACCGACCCCCGCCCTGCTTGGGGAGCCGCAGAGAGGTTTCTGCCGCAGGCGTGCTGCGCATGCAGCCACCAGTTGAAGGCGCAGACGCGAGATATAAGTTTGTAAACGCGTCTTCGTATCATCGGTCGCGGCCGTCAACGCAGTCTATAGGTGCTAATTTTGTTAATAATATTGTCTAATTTTTTATGTTTTTGCTCTTGATGATGCTAAAACAGCTATTTTTGCTGCTGTTGTTGTTGTTTCTGTAGGTACTGTGGTTGCTTTTGTTGGTGTTCAGTTGATGCTACTACTGTGGTGAAGTCGATCTCACAAAATTACTTTAGAGAATATCGATCTTCCACTTGCCCAGACTTGCCTACTGACAGAGGGGGTTCTCCGATCCGTGCCTTGTTGTATGCCTTGTGCTCACATTGTGTAATCGTCGGTTGGGCTGGCTTGAGCTCTTCGTAACGGCCTTGAAAGATGTAGATCTCGAGGAGAGGTTGGATTGAGAGTTTGCTTACGGTGCGGAAATTTTCATGCCACGAACAGGGGTTCTGCGATCTTGATCTTGAGACGCGGCGATCTCTATTTGGAGATGTCGAGATCTTGATCTTAAAACACACCGATCTCGATTCGTCTTCAGGATCGGGGTCTTTGCTGTGCGGAAACCTTCACTCAGCAAAGAATAATCTTGCGTCGATTTTGTCTTGGTACCGGTTGATCTTGCTAGAAGTGCGCAATGTGGGACATATAGATGTCCTGTTAAGCTAAAATGAAACGGACCGATCTGCTTTGTGGATGGCTTCGATATTGCTCGGTCTTGTCTTGAACGCCTTGTCCAGATCTTCTGACCACTTGAGCCGTCTCGCGATCTTGTGTCTAATGTCCTTTTCTTTTCCTTTGCTGTGTGGCTGCTACCCTAGCAGTTGAGTTGAGTGTGAGTACTTGATCGATCCGGGCCAAACTTCCCGGGATCGCTCTTCTCGATCTTTGGCCGACAATCATTGATCGGTCTTCAATATTCTTGTAGTACGCGTGCCGTAAACGTATGGGAAGCCAAAAAAGTCTTGCCCGGAAGAGAGGGAGGAACGCGCGCCGTAAGCAGAAAAAGTAGAGTTCAAGTCTGTTTATTGACCAACCATATTATTAGCCAACTGTAACGGGGCACACCCCTTGCGTGAACTTAACGCAAGGGTGACGTGTGCCCGACAAGCGTACACAGGGCAACCGAGAAAGCGGTAGGTAAAACAGAATTCGAAAGCTCTGTCTTGAGGGAAAAGTAGACCTGTTTATTGAATATGGTTATAGCGTCAATAAATCATCTTTGACTTACTCTAGATATATTAAACTATCTTCTACTATGTGGGTCCCTTGATCACCACCCATTGCGCGCGTCCAGCCGCTATTGATGGTTGAGTGTGTTGATGTACACCGTACATCAACCGAGAAGTGGTCCCCTCCACGAATATTATCCTTAGCGATAATAATCCGACAACATCACTCATTTCGAGTGATGTTAATTAAATATTATCAAAACAGATAATATTAAAAAATTAGTACTTCCGTACCAATTTTTATGTAACTGACTCACCCCGTTACATCACTCCTCCCTCAAGCATCATTCACTATAGTGAATGATATGATTGGCTGTGACAGAGTGACAACCGTCGTGTCGCTCTGGGGTCGAGAAGCACTTATTGGTTTTCCTTTTCAATTCCACTTCGCAGACCATGACGAGCAAGGCCGCGACTAAAGCGGCTGCACAAATGCGTGTAGCCGGAGGCCAAACCGCACAAGATCTAGCAGCAGGTGGTTATCGGCCTGCTGTTTCTGACAAAAAGCCTGCAACTTTCGTAGTTGCAGGTGCACGTGGTCATCTACGTGCAGCTTCTTTACCCGCAGGGTCTGCTGCGGGTGGTAGTCCGATGGACCATGGCCTCGATATAGACGTGGTC